TTGGTGGTGGTACTGAGGTTTGAACTGGCCTCATGCTTGCTAGACGGGCGCTCTACTCTTGATCCAGTCCACCAGCTTCTTTTTTTGTGATAGGCTTTTTCGAGATAAGGTCTCCTGAACTATTTCTGGGGGAGGGGCTGGGTTTGAGTCTCAGTCTTCCTGATCTCTGCCTCTTGAGCAGCTAGGATTACAGGCATGAGCCACTGGCACCTGGTTTGTTGGCTCTTATTTTTTATTATCTGATTACTACTTCTTCTTTTCATTTTGTGACATTTTTGTCATAGTCCTTTCTCAGGCAACACAAGAGCAAGAGCTTCAGATCTTATCAAACCATAAATTATCTTCTCCATTAGAATGTTGCCAGGGGCAAAAATCCATCAATTGTTTTGCCTGATGTTGTATCTCTGGAGCTTAAACTGTGCCTTCTAAAGGACAGCTATGCAGCTGGCCCTCAGATAAACTTATTCTCCCCTTTCCCTCTCTGGTCACCCCTTGCTAGAATATGGATTAACAGTCCCAGTCCAGGTCTTTGACCTGGTTGGCCTCTGCTTCAGCTTGGTGGCTGTTCTGCCTAGGATGCGATACAGTAGACATAAACTCTGAACACTCTGGTATCCTCAGTCTTGGCCTGGCCTCCATGCCTCTACAGGTGGGGCTGAGCTTACAAGTTGGTGGTACTACTGCCGGCACTCTTCGTGCTGCCCACTTGCTACTAAATCCTGTGTCCACGTGATCCTCTGGTGGGCGTGGGGGTGAGAAGCTGGGGGTGGTAGCCTGTGTCCTCCACATCTCTGCAGGTGAGGTCTCTCTCAGGTGAGCCTCAGAGCTGTGAACTTTCAAATAGGAATATTCCTGAAGCAAGATTAAGTAATTTTTCTCAATCTTGTCCTTTCTGTCTACCTCATAATTTAATATCATTTTTTCATGATTTTTGTCAGTAGACTTGGTTGATTTCAGTGTTCAGTGTGGTATATTTTTGTAAGTTTCTGTGATTTCAGGATTTGAATAATAGATGCTGTGAAATGAAAGATACATTAAACACTGCTGGTGCCTCATGCCTGTAATCCTACCTATTTGGTAGGCTGAGATCAGGAGGATCATGGTTTTAGGCCAGCTGTGCAAATAGTTTGCAAGACTCCATTTCCAAAATAACAGAGCAAAATGGACTGGAGGTGTGGCTCAAGCAGTAGAGCACCTGCTTTGCAGGTGCAAAGCCCTGCATTCAAGCCCCAGTGCCACCAAAAAGAAATAAAGTACACTAGGGCTTTCAGGCTAGGTGTGGTGGCACGTGCCTAATCCCAGCCACTGGCTGAGGCAGAGGATTGTATGTACAGGCCAGTCTGGGCAATTTAGTGAGACCTCTCAAAATGAAATTAAAACAAAAAGGGCTGATCTAGTTGACTGGAAGACTCAGGGGAATCATTGCAAAGGTAACAGGTATGTTGGTTCAGAGAGGATTTTTTTTTTTTTTTTTTTTGGTAACACTGGTGTTTGAACTCAGCCTCATCCTTGCTACAAGGGTACTCTACACTTGAGCCATTCCGCCAGACCTTTTTTGTGTTGGGTGTTTTCCAGATATGGTCTTGTGAACTATTTGTCTATGGCTGGCTTCTGATCATGATCCTCCTGATCTCTGCCTCTGGAGTGGCTAGAATTACAGGCATGAACCACAGGGCTGCAGGTTTTATTTTTTAATTTTTACTTATTTTTTTTGAGAGAAGGTCTCATGTGGTAGCCTAGGCTGGCCTTGAACTCTTGATCTTGATCCTCCTGACTGCTGGGTTTCAGGCCTGTGCTGCCGCAACTGGCTCTGGAAAGCATTTTTTATTACCAGATTTATATGTTATGTAGCCACTAAATAAAGATGTTCAATAAATGAATGCCTTACCTGTATTTTGAAACGTTTGTTTCTTGTCAAACTCCTATATATATTACTTAATGTTTTTATTTGATTTATTTACTTTGTGGTACTGGGGCTTGAACTCAGGGTCTACACTTTGAGCCACTCCATCAACCCTTTTTTATGAAGGTTTTTTTTGAGATAGGGTCTCTGGAACTATTTGCCTGGGCTGGCTTCCAGATCTCTGCCTCCTGAATAGTTAGTCTTATAGGCATGAGCCACTGGTGGTTAGCTGTTTTTATTTTTTAAACACACTTTTAAAATTTATATAATTCACATGTCATAAAACTCACCCTCAATAACATTTTTATAAGTTTTAGACTGATAAAAAGATATTATATTATATATTGGGTTCTCTGTTAATTCATTGGTCAAATTAAGAAGGTCTTTAAGACTTCTGTCATGTTGTATGTTCAGGTGACATATGAATAAACTGAGTAAAGAAACGAGGGCTCTGAATCTCTTTAAAGCCTGTTGGAGGCTTTTTTTTTTTTTTTTTTTAAGTGGACCTGGGATTTGACTCAGGGCTTCATGCTTGCAAAGCAGGTACCACTTAAGCCACATTTATTTATTTTGAAAACTTAAAATCAGACAATAGCAGTAGTTGACTGCATCTCTTAAAGCATCTGTAAGACTATACAGGGGTTTTAAGTGACAGGACTTAAAAGGAAACTTTCTTTTTGAGAGTTGACAGGCTGGTGAAGAGCTCTTCCTGGTCAGGACAAAGGAAGGATGGTGACTGCTGCACCGTTTTCAGCATATCACAAAGTTGCTGTTGGGGCTCTCTGGGAGTGGCAGCTTTGCTCACTGACCCAGACAGGCTAGTATGAGGGCTGCTGTGTGGAGAGCTGGATGTTTGCTAACTCCTCACTCACTATGGACACCTTTAATTGAACACTCGCCTGCCTCATGAAACCTTGGCATGCCTTACTTGGGAAAACAGCTTTTGGCAATAATGATTGCTGCTTTTAAAAAACAAAAATAATTTTTGGGGAAAATAGTTCTGTAGGAAAATATTGCCTTGTTCACAGGTCTGGAAGCAGAGATGAGCAATATATGTAAGTAAATGTATAAAAAGACGTGGCAGGCTTGTAAATGTTTCATTTTTCAGAAGTAGGAAAAATACAGCTTAAACTCCTTTTTGTACAGTGAGGTTAAAGCCCAGTTCTACTTGGAGTTTCACTCAAAGGTCTGAGACTAATTGAATAATTGGACCAGAAGGTTTAGGCTTTGAAGTACAACGGCCAGAAAAATGGGTTGCTGAGAGGAGTCTGACAAGTAGTGTTGCCTGCACATGGCACATCCCTCTAGTGAACAACCTTTAGGGTACCTCTGCGACCCCAAAACTTGGTTCTCCCAGCAGGAGAATCTGTCTTCCATCAGGGAAGAGCTTTGGCACTTTGCAATCCAGAGCCCATCTGTTTGGGTGCCTGATGTATGTATGGGTGCCATCACAGGCAAAGGGAACTTCCTTCACTTCCTGGACCAGAAAGGATAGCTGGTGCATTTGCTTTTCCTGAATCCCAGCGTCTGTGCTGTCACCTCCTTTGTAAACACCATTGCAAACTTGGTCGTGGAAATCAAGTCGCATTCCTTGGTTTTAAATTAGCGAGGCCTATAGGTTATCTAGATTATTTTGTAATATCTTAAGCAACATTGAAAATTTCCCATTGGGAAAGCAGTGTGGCAGAATGCTAATTCTTGGTGACCCAAAGTGAAGAGGGTCACCTACTGTATAAGATTTTTTTGCTGTTACTGTACTGGGAGTACATTATGACATTTACAAAAGTTCTTATAATATGTTATAACTCAGCCCCTTCATCATTTTCCTTTATCTCCCCTCCCCTCATTCCTGGAAGAGTTTCAACAGGTCTCATTTTTCCATTTTCATACTAGTAATAATCTTTGTTATAAATGAAAAAGACCTCAGAAAAAGTCAGTACACTGGTTGGGAAGAATAAAAAAATCATAATGGCAATAATAAAATAGGATACAAGGTAGATGTCACCTGAGGAAGGTATCTGAGGTCCGTGAGTTCATTTAAATATTTAGCTGTAGAGATTTGTCTATTTGTGAGAAAAACTCGTGTGTTAGAAGTAGTTATTCCTTGAAATGTTCGTTCTAAATATAAAGGAAATACAGTAAAGAATAATTGTCACATTTCTTTCTTTGAAAGGCTAATTTCTTTCTTTGATCTGCTAATGTTTGTACTGTTTGCCAGTCAGATACAAATTGCTGTTCTCTGGGTATCAGTGGCTACCATTGTGTTTTACTTAACTGACACCTTAGGTTTTACTCCACTACTGAGCTTGCTTTTTCTCTGTACTAAGTGATGCCTTTGCAGTATGTATGTGTTCCTTAACTTGGAACTTAGCGAACGTACGTGCCTAATATTACCTGCATCTGTGAATTCTTCTGTGGGTAGGTGGTGGCACCTCCCTTGTTCTCTGGAGCTGGTCTCTGGTGGCCTGTTGCCCTGTTCTGCTGGGCAACCTGCGTCTAAAAGTGTGTTCAGAGACTTCAGTGGAGAAGAGTAGATGCTGCTGACTTCGTTTCCAGAGGAGTGTCTTACTGCTGAGGACTACTTTCCCAGTCTTTTATTTCTTTGGAAAGTAGAATCAAATTTCAGTCAGAAGGATCTAAGTGTTGGAGGCTCCTTGCACTATGACTGAGCAAAGGCATTTGCATTAGGGGCAGAGCAGGGGTTGGAACTAGTTCCATGTTTCATGCCCTGGTGTTGCTTGCGTCCTGTGCCCCAGATTTGACAAGTCTCCACTTAGCTGAGTAGGAAAGGTTTTCATCTCATTGTTCATACAAGCCACTGATTAAAAAAACCCAACTGATGTTAGCGCTCAAGACACACCAGTATGTATGCATAGGTAATTGTTGTCTGACAACAACCCTAGGCCATAAAAAAAATTAATATTATAATGGGAGATTTATAACTTTAAATGTGAAATTTGTGAAAAGAAAAAACCTCCATCTACCCATTATGCAAGCTCAGTGACTAATTTATAATGGGTGTAATATTGGTAATAACTTTTAGGCGTTGTCCGACTTAAGTAAATCTGACTTACTGGAAATGCTTCCCTTCTTGTAGCGTCTCCTGAGGGTACAGGCGGGTGTTTGAGGAGTACTTGCGCGTCATTAGTCAGCGGTATCCCGACATCCGAATCGAAGGGGAGAATTACCTCCCTCAGCCGATTTACAGGTAAGTAAATTTCACTAACTTGAAATTGACTTTATAGACTTCTGCCAAGTGGTTCAATTACCTTTCTTTGGCTATGGTAAATTCTTTGTTAGTTATAATAATATATAGAGAATGCTGGTTTACAGATAGCAAGTTTATTTGGGTTTGGTGGCACACACCTGTAATGCCAGCACTCAGGAGGCTGAAGCAGGAGGATCACGACTTCCAGGCCAGCCTGGGCTGCATAGAAAGACCCTGTGTCAAAACAATCAATAAATAGGGCTGGTAGAGTGGCGCTAGTGGTAGAGCACCTGCCTAGCAAGTGTGAGACCCTGAGTTCAAGACCCAGTACCACCAAAAAAAAAAAAAAAAAGTCAATACTTAAATAGTAAGTTTATTTTGTTTAAATATAGAAAGCTTTTTCTGTAAGAAGAAATGGGGTCATTTCAGGGATGACAGCCTTTTAAAAGATATGTTTCCTTATTTAGTTTTATTGTGGAAGTAGGCAAAGAAATCTCCTCCCTCCCCCTTTCTTGTGCTGGGGATTGAATTCAGGGCCTTGCACATGCTAAACACATATTTTATCACTGAGCTACACCGTGCAGATTTCCAGGATTTCATGGAAAATCGGTGACATTCTGTATAGAATTGATTTGACATCTAGACAGTGTCTGTACACAATACTTGAATCACTAAATCTTAAAGTTTGTGAGAACTCGTGGTTTCTGATAAATTTCTCTTTTTTTCTTTTGATAGACATATAGCGTCTTTCCTGTCAGTCTTCAAACTAGTACTAATAGGCTTAATCATTGTTGGCAAGGACCCCTTCGCTTTCTTTGGCATGCAAGCGCCTAGCATCTGGCAGTGGAGCCAAGAGAATAAGGTAGGTGACCTCCTAGCTTCGGCTTCCCGGCACTTGCTGTGTCTGGGGCTTTAGTTTCCATAGAGAGTTGTTGATACACTAAAGGTAATGATCTTACTTTTCATTTCGAGGGTAGAGGCAGTGTTGCTTTAGAAAAACCTGGCTACAAAATAATTTACTTTCTGGTTTTTTTTTTTTTTTTAAGTTTAGCAAGGATTTGTGTTAGTATAACAGGTTATAGATAAGGAGGCAGAGAGAAAAAGAGAGACATTTCTTGCCCTCATGCAGGAAATGGGAGCAAAGACTCACTATTTGATTTTGATTACATAATCTAGGTCAAATTGTATCCAGCACAACACTATGTAATATAGGTCTTTCATACTGACTCGTGTGGTGTTAGTGGGTGGCTCACATTTTAAAAGTGAATTTTTATCTATCTTGTCAGAACTCCTTTCTCTTCTGAATTATTTGTCCTTTGATTTTGCTGTATGTGGGGATCTGCTACGCAGGTTGCTGGAGTCAGTATAAATATCTCTATAAACCTGGCGCAGATTTTTCATTTGTGGAGTCTTGAAGCATAGATTCTTAAAAGAGTTTCCGGTTTTTATTTAATTAAATTAATTAATTAGTTAATTTTTTTAAATTGCATTACGGGGTTTGAACTTAGGGCCTGCTTGCTAAGCAGGTGCTCTGCCGCTTGAACCATGCCCCAAGTCATGCCTTACTATTTTTTGGATAGGATCTCAAGTTTGTTTCTAGGGCTAGTGTTGGGCCATGATCTTCTTACCTATGCTTCCCACATAGCTGGGATGACAGGCATGCACCAATACACCTGGGCTATTAATTGAGATGGGGTCTCGCTAACTTTTTGTCTGGATTGATCACAAACCATGATCCTTTTGATCTCCACCTCCTTACTGCCTGGGATTACAGTCATGTAGAGCTCTCCTGATTACTCTTACTTTTATCTGCTTTACTTGAAATTATGTTTTTTCTGAATTGTTCTCCACTGTCAGAAGTGGATCTCATCTTTTTTTCTCTTGGATGGGAGTATTTAGACACCTTGTGTGAAGTGTCCTCTGGTGTCTTCTCCCTGCTCTTCTTCAGTTGTAGGCTGAAGTCCTTGCTCAGACTCCACCATGGCCAGGCTTGGTTTTCTGAGTACTGACAAGACTTCAGAACGTAAAGATCCTCAGGCATGATCTCTGATTGACGGGCATCTGTACTCTGTTACTAACAAACTACCAATGTGCAGAGGGTGAAAGATGGCAAGTTGTGCTTACCGATAGTGTTTGTATGTGCCAGATGGTCTTAGTGCATTCTCCTTTTGGGGATGTACACGCCATTGCTGACCTCTGCAAGAAGGATGCAGTTAAAATCTGCAGCTTTTATGTGTTGTTCTCAAGAAAGTAGAGGCTGACGTTCCCAAGGCTGTGAAACCAAACCCACCTGAATCAGGTGTGGCAGGACAGAAAGCTCTTGCCCACCTGCTGTGGACATTTAATTTTCTGATACAGCTTGCTATGAATTTGCATCTCAGTGGTTTGCTAAATTAAAACATTTCTGTCTAGCACAGGGCTTCTAGTTTCTTGGGAGGGAAGATTTGCCTTCAGAAGAAGAGTGGATGCTCTTTAATACATCCATGTTCTCTAAATGTACTTCTTTCTTTGACTGATTTAAGATAGTTTGCTCAGAACTTCAGGTTGTTTTGAATACATGGTCCGCACCACTGTCTCCTGTGAATTCATGTATTGTAAAATTGGTACAGTGAACCCATCTCATGCTTCTATTCTTTTTTTAACTTGGGTTATTATAAGATTGCTTAGAAATTCTGTATACAGTGTGAATGTCGTAGGTAAGTCCTTCACACCGATGAAGTACAGAGTTGTGAACGTATACTCCAGTTTTCTTGCTCTGTGCATGTACATGACCCTGTGGAATAACAGAAGTGGTTAGACACTCTCGTAACGTAGATCAAAAAGAGCGTTGACCACATGAAGAGTGAGAGTGCGTCTTGAGTGACTCCCGCTGTGCTCCGTCTGTGTTCGTCTAGGTCTACGCGTGTCGTGATGGTTTTCTTCTTGAGCAACATGATCGAGAACCAGTGCATGTCCACAGGTGCATTCGAGATCACGCTAAACGGTAGGTTCCACGATGAGCTTCACGTGACTAATAACGCCGGGCTCGTCTGCCTTCCCCAGGAGAAGCCTCCTTTAATGTTCATTAGGAGACTTCATTTGAAGAGTTGGCTTCTTAGGTTAAGTTATCTGTCAGGGCTTAAATAGTCTGTGTGCTGATTCCTAAAGGACAGCTCCAGAGAGCTCTAGACCTCTACAAGTGCTGCACCAGGAGTATTAAACCTGACCTGCTCCAGAAGAAACTCTTGGTGACTCCTGCTTCTACAGTTAAATTTGTTTCTCCCCTGACTTAGTGGTACCATCGTCTGTCTACCCAGTTGCCCCAAACAAGGATCTATCACTCTCTCCACTACTCCCCATACTCCTTAACAGTCTACTGTTCCTCATCTACACTGCCATTACCCTAGTCCATGCTGCAGTTACCTGCTTACCTTGGCATTCTCTAAACCAAGGTTGGCGAATATAGTCCATGACCTATGATTTTTTTACATTTTTAAATGGTTAAAACAAAATCAAAAGAATGTTTTGTAGCAAGGCACTGGTGGCCCACACCTGTAACCCTAGCCACTCAAGAGGCAGAGATCAGGATTGCGATTTCAAAGCCAGCCTGAGCAAATAGTTCACAAGATCCTATCTCAAAAAAAAGAAGAAAAAAAAAAAAAACCCAACATATAAAAGGCTTATTGGAGTGGCTCAAGTGGTAGAGTGCCTACTTAGCAACCATGAGGCCCTGAGTTCGAACTTCAGTGCCCTCCCTCTACCCCCACAAAAAGCATACTTCATCTCACCCATCACGCAGTCTAGTGTCTCAGATTCATTAAGTGCTTTGTTTTCAAGATAAAGAGCAGAGCACCAGTATAGCCAAAGGCCACAGCTCTCATTTGGGGTCAGCAGATTTGCCCCATGCTCCATCTCCTCTGTTGCCTGTGTCTTACAAAAAGCCTTTATGGAAACACCACCAGGCCCATCTTTTGCGTGTCACCCTGGCTGCTTTCAGGCTGTGACAGACTGTGTGTCCTCCCTAGCTAGTGTTTCATTTGTGCCTCTGACCATTTATTGACACCAGTGTCACCTCTCTAGCTCCTGTGTGTCACTCACTCGCCCCTGTGCTGCAGCCACACTGGCTTCTCTTCTGAAGTTTTCTACTTCAGGACTCTCACTCTGTCTCATCATTTTACTTGTGTGTACTTGGCATTTTCTTTACTAGAGCTTAAATTGCCTAAGAACAGAAGCTACCCTCCTTGTATTTGTATTTGTATTCCCATTGTACACAGAGACACCCCCCCCCACCACCCGTAAAGACTTGTGGCGTGATTGTCTACTGTAGAATGACCCTAATGGGTTTGGGGGTGCCATATGTTTTATAGATGTACCTGTGTGGTCTAAGCTGGAGTCTGGTCATCTCCCATCCATGCAGCAGCTCGTTCAGATCCTCGACAATGAAATGAAGCTCAACGTGCACATGGACTCACTCCCACACCATCGATCATAGCCCCACCATCAGCACTGAAAACTCTTCTGTGAGTAGCATAAGACTACAGTAGGTAAAGCTTCGTCTAGGTGTCTAGGACTTCCCATCACAAATGTTAGTAGACGTTACTTCTTGAGTTCCAATTTAGGATTAAACGGATGTGTTCTTCATTAGAATCTGTTAGTGTATCAAGAGTTAGGACTTGCCTGGTAAGTAGGGTTGTGTTAATAATTCAATCTTGAAGTCCTAGTCATTTGGCCTGTAACATTTTTTAAAACTCTGAACTGCAAGTACCAAGCATGCTTAGGGAGTATGTTCATATCCTCTCCTCACCTTCAGAGAATTAGTTCTTTAGAGGGTGTAAATTTGTAGCACGTTTAGGATTGAAAGTTTATACACAAATGTGAATGTGGAGAGGTGGTTGACTTTGTGGCAGAGTTGTTCTCATTTCTTTTCTAAGAGTTGTTAATAAGAGTGATTCTTAAATAAAACCTCCCTTTCTCTGTGTCTTTCAGACATTACAGGATTTTGCAGGAGCAGCGTGACTGGCACGATGAAGGCCTGTACTGAAGACAGCTGCTGTTAGTACAGGCTGGATACCCTCGGCAGGCACGTTGTACTCTTGGGAAACCTCATGCAGGACAGTTTCTCAGTGCTGAGGCGTTTGGGAATTCTGCACATTCATGGAGTGCAATAATACTGTATAGCTTTCCCCAAAAACTCACTCTGTTTCTTTTACATGTAGACATTACTACTTGGAACTTTTTTCTTAGTCATTTTTGAAAAAGTAGAAAATTGAGTTACAATTTGATTTTTTTCAAGATGTGTGTTGAATTTGTTGTGCTTTTATATGAATTTTCATTTTTTATAGTTTAAAGTCAGCCATTTGGGTATATAGCTGAAGTTCCAAATAGTTTATAAGGTTATTAGACATCTCTAATTTGGCCATGTCCAATTGATACAGTTTCAAAATTCTGCAGGTTATGAACAGTGTGTTATTCAAAATTATGGGGAAATTCAGTATCTCGAGTACTCCCACCGTGTGTGTGTGTCTGTCTGTCTGTCTGTGTCTGTGTGTGTGCGTGCGTCAGAGGACTGCTACAAACCACCTGCTCTAAATCCTATTGTGCAGTTCAGGTGTCTTGCCTTGACCAGTCTAGTGAGTTGATTAACTGGGCCTTTGTATTTAACTAAATAAAAAGTAAGCAGATGTCAGTTCAGTGGAAAAGTTTCAGTTTTTTGCTCATTGTACCTGTTAACATATTTAATAATTATCTGCCTATTTTTTTTATTTTGATTTACAAATAACCTTAGAAGGGGCACACTTTAGATTCACATACAAATAAGAGGTTAATTTACCATTTTCAGAATAGCTGAAACTCACCTCACTAAATACCAGTCTGGTTGAACCTCTTACAACATTGACATTAGGTAAATGGAGACCATCTGATAATAACTTATCTAGCATCCAATATGTCAGAATTTTACTGTATTTGAAAATTTTTAAATTTAATTTTTTGTATTGTTCCAGAGCTCTAAAAAGACAGTTTTTTAAAAACTTAAAAAGTTGATAAGACTATAGGAATGACTTAGCAGAAATAGAACCATAATGTGGAAAAATAGCTACATGACAGCAGTGACAACATACCTCAGACTCCATACGTGAACGAAGTGGCAGGGCCAAAAGCAGGGACTGGAGTAAAAGTAATGAAGTAATTCAACACTGGTGTTACTAACAGTGAGCTGCTGCAAGGCTTGACCTTGCTGTCACCTGTGTATCACTGGCTGCTTCCTTCCTGAATGTGTCAGGTAATGGGCCTGCATGAGAGTCTCAAGGTAGAACTTACGTAATCTTCCCGCTGTAGGACATTAGTCTATTGATTCACTGCAGAAAAGTGGTTAAATAGTTATCTTTTGATTGAGATTGTAGAACTGTTAGCCTAAGTTCTTCACGTAGAGATAGCCAATACAATTTAAATGGGCAGTTCCTTAGAGATTATTACCTAAGTGGTGTAATGCCATTTTATCTTCTGTGTACCACTCCAAAAGCCTGAACACTCCAGGGTCCTTCTTCAGCCTGTGGACATTCCAGTGACACTGTAACCCTGTGGCGTGCAAACTTGGGCCTGTGATGTTCCCATGGATCTGACAGGTAGAACTATGAAGAATCCAAGATTCAAATCCAACTTTCTCCATTTTGCCTTGAGCTACATAACTTGTCTTTCAGAGAATAGCTACACTGTCTTAGACACTGATAAAGCTCAACAACTGTGTTGACACCCACCTGTATTTTGTTTTCTGCTTAGCCATACTTAACTCTAGAATCCAATAGAGTCTAGTGAAAAAATAAGTGGGGCGCATGAATATAAAAATACTACAAGGAAAAGGACAAGGTAAACTATTTAAAGTGTAACTTTATTCCTGACATTTCACAATTTATTGGTTGCTTATAAATTGGTGTGGCTGTGTAACTTATAAATGTCTATACACTATTTAATTAAAAGGCTGTAGGATATACCAGCAGGTTGGCTAATATTGGAGTTTTTGCCACAGTTGTCATTGTGGAAGAAATTGTTACATTAATAAAAAAAAATGTTGGTAAAACATGGCTTTATGCCTCAGTGTGTAAGACATGCAGACAAATGCTTTCTTCTTCTGTCTCACAAATGGTATTCTTGCTTTTCAGTGCTGATATCATTCATGATAGCAGTAGAGCAGATTTCACAACTGTTAAAACACAGCGGCCCCAACGGCAATGCTTGCTTTCTTTAAGTGCTTATTATTTGGGTCCTTGATTGATAACAAACATTCTGTCATTGTCATAGCTTAATTCAGATTTTAAAATAGTCTACAGGATTTTTAAACATGGTTTAATATTCTAAAGCTTAAAAAAAATCTCTTTGAGAAACAGGTGAGGAATTATAAAGTTGGGAGACTTCCCTCTGTGTGAAAGAAAACCCTAGTTTGTGAAATTGAATCTACACCAGAGTACTTCAGTGGTAACTATTTAGGAAGTTTCACATTGTAAAAGTTGTTATCCAGTAACGTTTGCTTTCTACTGTCTCCTTAACCCTCTGGTCAGGCACTCAGGTGGGCCTAAACGCTTTCTCCAGCCCTAGGGTTCTGTGGGCTTTGTTGTTGCTGAGCAGTCAGCAGCTCCAAGATGGGCTTGGTGCTGAGTGGGGCAGCAAGGACTTGCCTGCCCATCTTGCCTCATCCTCCATCCTGTAGTGTTCTGAGAAGTTCACTTTACCTTACCTGAACCTGGAGGGAAGCAAAATAAATCCTTTTCCTGTATTAACCAGCATAGGCAATTTAAGAACCTAGGAAGAGACAACAAAGAAAACTCAGCTGAGTTCTTCACAGGGGTTGTGGATATCCCTGGCTCCTTCCCCGCCGGGCTTCAGCAAAGCAAATAGCAATATAGAAGTAAGTATTTATTTATTTTCAAGGTAAATAAGTAGACTCAGCTTCACACTGTGTCTGGAAGAACATAGAAACTGGTTTCAGGTGCATTGTAAAGGCTATTGAGTCACCCTCTGTAACAAAGCAGTAGAACAGCGTCTCTGTCGCCTCTGTTCAGTGTGGGCAGAGTAAATAAACAACAGTCCCAAGGGGTTTTCAAACCTTAACGTGCCTGAGAATCACTAGGACAAATTACTGAGCTCCATGTCTAGAGATTGGGGTTCATTTGGTATGAAGTGGAGCCCCATAATTTTTCAGTAAGCTTCAAGGTAATGCTGATGCTATCAGTCTGTCTGTGGTCCACACTCAGCTGCACCTTACTAGTACCACGGCAGAAAGAAGACTGACAACCTAGCAGAAAGCCATGTGTGACTGCTTGATGTCCATAGAATGACTTGAGAACAAATTCACTAGGGTGGGAACTTGGAGATAGAAAGAGTGACCAGGGAAGGTTATTGCTACAGTAAGAAAACAGCTTAATTGTCCCAATTACAATTTTGTGAACGCAATGTATCTTTTCTTGTTGGGTTAGCTATTTTGGAACCGTTTGGCTAAGATGTTTTAAAGGGAACTGTGTCTTTGAGTAGAAAGCAAGTGGTTTGGATTGCTAGATCCTCTGAGCAAGGCAGTAACAGCATGTCCACTTAATACTCTACTGAGAGCTGACCTGAGTTCACATTAGGCAAACATTTAAATTCTAGTTCTGAGCAGAGAAAAAGATGCAGAGTTTTAGTTTTATTTAGAGTAATTGTGGCAGAACTCTTTATGTTGCTAGGAAAACACAATCTGAACTCTTCCACACCCCCAAAAGAAAAGGATTAATTGATCAGCACCCAGGGAGTCTGATGTAGAATTGGCCTCAGGGTTCAAATGGTGCTGGGATTTGAACTCCACGCTCTTCACTTGGGCCACCAGCCTATTTGTTTTGCTTTTGGTACTGGGGATTGGAGCTGGAAGGTGCACATGGTAAGCATGCACTTGGTATCGACTCCTCCACCCAGCTGCCTTCCACCCTCCATCATAATGTTTAGGACAAGTCTATGGCTTTGAGGTTACAAGTTGCTCGGATCAAAATTCCATTGTGTATTAGAGCCCGGCAGGAGTGGCCCCACTCCCTGGGGCCACTGGCTACAATCTGCTCTGTGTCCTAGCAGCTCCTCCTAGGAAAGAAAAACAGCTACTGCTGCTTTATCACCCTTAGGTTGCTAAGAGTAAGTCTGTTTGTAGGAAACTACTGATTATATCCCCCACATACTGAAAAACTGTTAGAAGATGCTGCTGAGCCAGGTGTCAGTGGCTCGCCTGTAATCCCAGCTACTCAGAAGGCAGAGATCAGGAGGGTCAATGTTCGAAGCCAGCCTGGGTACTTGAGACCCTACCTCAAATAACCCATCACAAAAAAAGGCTGGTGGAGTGGCTTCAGGTGTAGGCCCTGAGTTCACGCCCCAGTACCGGGGGAAAAAAAATACTACTGAATTTTATCTTTAAAAAAATTTTTTTCTGTAGTACTGGGGTTCGAACTCAGGACCCACGTTTCCTAGATACTTGACCCTCACCCCAACTGTTTTTGCTTTAGCGTACTTTCTGGGGGGTGGGGGGGTGGTTGCAGCCTTGGACTATGATCGTCCACCTGTGTGGTACAGGCACGCACTGCCATGTGGCCCTGAATTTCACCTTTCAGTAGCCATGAAATCTAGCCCATGAAAAAGATTGTTTTTATTTTAAGATGCATAGGTGTATATGAACCATAGATTACTTACAATTGGTCCTTTTAGTAAAATTCTGCATAATGTAGAAATTCAACATTATGAAAGATTTTGAGGTCTACTTCAATTCTCTTACTTTCTAAATAAAGAACAAGAAAGGCCAAGATTTTGCCCTTGTTAATGGCTGTGGCCCAAGGAAGGAAGCCTGCACAGAGGGCGTCAGAGATGACCCCACGGGAGGAGGGGGCAGTACCAGCAGTCTTAAATCTTAATGTCTCCTCACATTTCCTCTTTAGCTAAGTCTGGCTGGGGTTTTTGTTGTTTCTGTTTTTCAGACTACGGCTTAGTGAGGCCATCGCAAGATCGTTTTGTTGATGTCAAGATGCAATTTTGGTTTTAAAACCCATGCAGAAAATCCCTTTGTTCCAAATTGTTGTCGGCACATAAAATCTTGTTTCATTGTTCTTATCTCTACATCTTGAAGCAAAAACTGGGCCCGGGAAATGTGCGTGTCTAGAGGCAGTGAAACCTGTCTGTGGCCGTGGGCACCATCAAAGTGATGAGGCAGCCTACCTTACACAGCCAGTTCCTTTAACGGATTTAAGCTTTCTCTATAACCTGCAGTGCAGGGTCATGCTTAAGAACTTTACAAGTTTTTAAAAATGCTTTTGGTTTTGGTGGGACTGGAGTTTGCACTCAGGGCTCTCCCACTTGAGCCACACCTGCAATACATTTTGCTCTGGTTATTCTGGAGATGGGGGTCTTGAGAACTATTTGACCGGGCTGGCCTCCAACCATGATCCTCCCAATCTCAGCCTTCCGAGTAGCTGGGATTACAGGCGTGAGATAACTGTGCCAGGCAAGGACTATTACAATGACTGGGAGATGTGTTCTCAGAACTTTGTATCCAGAAGATGCACGTGGGAAACGCAGGAAGCATTGTCTGTGGGGTGCCATCTGTTACCTAAAATTGCAACAGCAGAATGTGATGACCTGTAAAGAAGGGGTGACCAGCCTGCTGAACACAGGCCTCTGAGAGACTGAGAGGTTTTGCTAAGTTGGCCTGTGAATGACTGAGGGAGGGAGGGAGTGTGATTAGGTCAGAGGTTCTCCATTGCAGTTTTACCCTCAGGGCACATTGCTGGTACTGGGAGACATTTTTGATGGCATGGCTGGAGGAGGGGCTTCACTCCTGGCTTCCCTGAGGCCAGGCAGAGGTGGAACCCAACCTCCTCCTAGGCCCCAAACAGCTTCCACCACCAGGTCATCCAAGATGTCAGCAGGGCTGCTAGCAGCAGAGACACCATGGTTAAGGTTTGCAGAACTGAGGGATAGGGACTGAAAGAACAGAGACCAGGTGGCAGACACATGTCACTCAGACCAGCCTCTCTTGACCTGTAGTGGAAAACCTTACCAGGATCTGGTTGGGGGCGGGGAGCCACACTTCTTGTAAGGAAGTTAGCGGGGGCTCAAGGGGTCTCCTTTGCCCCCCTGGAGTGGTATTTTTATCCTAAAACTACTGCAACAGAGGAAGCCATTTGTTCCAGTCAGAGCTAAGAGGCTGACACGAAGGAGGTTCTCGTGATCGTGAACCAACATGGCTACAGACCCACTTTGGTTGGCTTTTTTTTTTCTTTTTATTGTTTTATTATTCATATGCGCATACAAGGCTTGGTTCATTTCTCCCCCCTGCCCCCACCCTCTCCCTTACCACCCACTCCACCCCCTCCCCCTCCCCTCCACCCCCTCAATACCCAGCAGAAACTATTTTGCCCTTATCTCTAATTTTGTTGAAGAGAGAGTATAAGCAATAATAGGAAGGAACAAGGGTTTTTGCTGGTTGAGATAAGGATAGCTATACAGGGCATTGACTCACATTGATTTCCTGTGTGTGGGTGTTACCTTCTAGGTTAATTCTTTTTGATCTCACCTTTTCTCTAGTTCCTGGTCCCCTTCGCCTATTGGCCTCAGTTGCTTTTAAGGTATCTGCTTTAATTTCTCTGCATTAAGGGCAACAAATGCTAACTAATTTTTTAGGTGTCTTACCTATCCTCACCCCTCCCTTGTGTGCTCTCGCTTTTATCATGTGCTCAAAGTCCAATCCCATTGTTGTGTTTGCCTTTGATCTAATGTCCACAAATGAGGGAGAACATACGATTTTTGGTCTTTTGGGCCAGGCTAACCTACTCAGAATGATGTTCTCCAATTCCATCCATTTACCAGAAAATGATAACATTTCGATCTTCTTCATGGCTGCATAAAATTCCATTGTGTATAGATACCACATTTTCTTAATCCATTCGTCAGTAGTGGGGTATCTTGGCTGTTTCCATAACTTGGCTATTGTGAATAGTGCCGCAATAAACTTGGGTGTGCAGGTGCCTCTGGAGTAACCTGTGTCACAGTCTTTTGGGTATATCCGCAAGAGTGGGATTGCTGGATCAAATGGTAGATCAATGTCTAGCTTTTTAAGTAGCCTCCAAATTTTTTTCCAGAGTGGTTGTACTAGTTTACATTCCCACCATTGGTTGGCTTG